TTTCCTAAATGCCAAAAGCTGTAGCCGTATACAAGCTTACTATTCATGGAATAAACTATTTGCTGTCAGTTTTCCTCTCCACACTCGTCAAGTGCTCGGAAGAGAGGAGATAAGACGGTAAGAGACTGGGACGAGACAGTGCAGTATTAACACAACAATACTGCGACGTTTGTGCCGCGGCTCGCGGGAATTAGTTTACAGAACAGTGAGTACGAAAGATCTGTTCAGGTTATGTATTCAGCTTGAAAGCTACTGATTTCTCTCTCCGATTATGTCACATCTTAAAACCAATTCTTACTTACGTGATTAGCGGTGGAAAATGCTGGGGAGGCATGTCTTGTGGTGTATGGATCAAGCTCTCGCGGAAAGCAAACAAATGACAAACAAACAGAGAAAAAGGAATGGGGGAATTTTAGCTTTTACACCCTAAAATCAATTTGCATGTTTTCTATGCAGTTCTCCGTACACTTACCTAGGTGCTGACAACGAGAATTTGTTAAACAATCAAGAGCTTATTTAGTTGATGACCACTTCCTCTATTCTCGTGACCTTAATGCTTAATTCACGGGTGTTATTGTAAGGAGAAATTAGATTTCAGTCACTACTAGGGGTCAAAAGGTTAAATCTTTGTTTCTGAACTGGAAGAGGTGGGATCGTAGCGACGATTTCGAATCGCGCGTCCAATAACTACTCTTTCAGTCTCTCGTGGTTGGATATTTATTTCAATTAATGGTGTTACATTGCACTTCTCTTTTGTAATCGCGTAATAAAATTTTGCTTTATTGACTGATGTTAAGTGTCTGAGCGCTGATTAGTTCATCATCAGAGGTTTGACCATAACTGTCAACATCCGTGACGCGATGAGTGGAATAGTAACAGTTCCCCCTTTGGGATATTTCCTCTCGTATATTGGGAAACTCGTACGTGCGTGACAACCCCCATGAATGATCCTTTCTCCGGTTGCTTTAAAATCCGATGGCAAAATAGTGTGATGATTGTGACGGGAGTCAATAGCGACATAAACGATCACTGGAATATTCACGTAAAAACTGATGGTTTTCTCATCGTTTGGCCCCCGAAGATGCGTCAGTCCGTGATACTTCGGAGGGATATCCTCCATCCTATAACAATCTCGGTTGGTGCTAAACTTTTCCCCTTCCCGAACCATGCTTATTTCTCGAGGAGTACCGGGGAAAGTCACTTTCAGTTCAGCATAGGGACGCACATCGAATGCGTCATCCCTAAGGAAGATCCCGGTCATTCGGCTGGAGCTGAAGTGAACGGTCACTAAACCAGGTCCGTGTGTCCTACGACTCCGGTATATTGGGAACTTAACCGGACCGGGCTTGTGGCAACCCCCTAGCATGACTAAGTCACCGGTTTTTTCGTATTCGTCTCCATGGATGTATGGATACCGAGAATCAGTGGCGAGGTAGATTATAATCGGAACGTTGACTTTAAAAGTTATGATCCCAACTTTATCGTTCGGCCCTCGAACGTGAGTCATACCTTGGTACAAAGGCGGAACATCTTCGTACTCGTAGCAAGGTCTGTTGGTGGCATACCTTTCTCCATGTCGCACCATGGAGATTTCAAGTGATCCGTAATCTGTGACAGCCAGATCGTCCATAGTGAAGGATCCTTCGATCGTGAGGAGAACAATCCAACAAATTACAACCCATGAAGTTGCCATCTTGAATTCAAACAGTTAGTGTTCGTTGAGCGAAAGCACCAGCTATTTATCTATGAATCACGGATCTTTGATATTGGTTTCATCAGAAGATGTGCTGAAACGCGCTTAAAGATCATATTCCAAGAGAAGACGGAAGTCACGACCACTGAGACATGATCACGTGACTTTGATACTTTTAGGAGATAGTTGTTGTATAAAGTGTCTAAAATAGCACTTCTAAACGTCTATCGAAATTTACCTTACTAACGCTGTTCATATGTCGTTAATAAAATCCAACAAAAAGGAGCCCACACCTGAAACAAAGCTTAGTGGAATTGTGAAACATTTTAGTGCAAAGTTGGCCGCTGTTTACACTAAGCATTCTTACAAAGCAAACTTAGCTTCTTTTCAGTTCATATTTTGTTGAACATCAGGTTAGCCGCTTTCTTTTGTCTATTTCTACTTCCTTTTGTCTGATCGACAGAAGACAATCACCTGTCCAAATATCAGTATTATAAATCTCCACAAATATTTTTGTTATTACTTTTTCTCTCTTGACATGACGCGAAATACGGAAAAAACGAGGACAAAAAAATCGCAGTCAGGATTTATCATTTCGTAATCCAATTAACAAAGATTTGGCCGGAACCACTCATGCCTCTGATCGCACGTTCAGAACTCTGCTGGGGTCACTCACCTGGATATGGACGTGACTCCGGGTGAACTTGCCATGGAGCGAAATGACATACCGGCCATAATCGAGGCAGAGTTCGGTTGTAAACAACGGCAGAATGACAAAACCAGATAGAGGTTTTCAGGATCATGTCAAGTACTTGGCAGTTATGCTTTATGAAAAGTGGGAACTTTTTCTGAATCAAATTTCTTTTACCAAAGGAGAGACTGAATTACTGCGTGCCATGATATATGAGGTCACCCACGCTTAGGCTAGGCAGTCGAGCCAAAGAACACCACTGACAGGCCCGTGGGCTCAGAGGGGGAATGCATGCGTTTGCCCTCCTATGAGATTTTTACAGGACCATGAATCCTTTCATTTTACACGACCTTAGGGCGGGAACGATTCACGGTTCTGATCTCTCCAAGGTTTTACCTAAGACAAAATTAAACGAGACATTATATGCTTTTGCTAATTTACCGTTCGTAGCGATATTTGTATTTTTTTCTTACCAGCACAATCAAATTCGGGGATGGAAAGGCAGATAAATCTAAAAATTTCTGAAATAGTGGACATATGTTAATTACTATTGAGCACACCCGCTGAACTCCGCCTTTCTGAGTCCTCTTCCACATTTAAATTTTCTTTTAATTAGAGCCCGCAGTTTCCTTGTCTGCGGTGAATATCCGGGACTTCATAGTTGAAAAATCCAAGATGGAGGAAATAGGAATTACTATCCAAAGTCAGGTCTGTTGTTCAATGATTTTCGCCATAAACGCGTTAGATTTTCAACCAAAGGGTTTCAAAATGGGACGTATAATAAGTCTTGCTAGTACGTGAGAGATTTTAAGTCCTTTTTGAATCGTTTCTTCCATTACAGGGCCATGTCTTTTTGTCTACCAATTCCTGTCAGTGAGAGATAATTTTTGCTTTGTCACGTTGAAAGAAGGTTAAAAACTGTTTGAAATATTTGGAAAAAGCGATACAACTTCCTGCTTAAAAAGAAAATTTCGTTTCCAGTTAGATCAAAGTTGTAGATTTACCAGCATCAAAACGGATGAACATTGTAACAAAATTCATGGCCTAATTGGTTCCATGCTTGTCATGACCACGTTGTATTTTATTATCAAGTTTCTCTTCATTTCGCCCAGTTTATTGGTCTTACTTGTCACTGTTTGGAGAGGCCAGAAGCCTTTATTTTCTACCTCAATTCCTCTGGCTATTTTGAAACACATTGAAATGTTGATTTGAATCGAACGCAAACAGTCGACGCTCATTTAAAATAGATGATAATTCATGTGAATTTTATGGAAGAGTTTAAAGTGTTAAAGCCGTGATAGCAGCGTAGAAGTTGAAAAGAACATACAATATTGTTGGAAGATCAGTAATTACAACACAAAATACTTGACTCTTTTTTGAAAAAATGGACACCTTTCCAGTTGGGAAACAACAAGTGCTATGAGGCCTTTAAGAGTGATTGCCATTTACTTGATTGACATTTGCAGTGTTTTACTTCAAAAAAAGGATATCACATGAATTTGGGCTCATTCAGTGTCTATCATAGGCCTGTTGTAAACCTCAATTGAGCAAAGTAATTACTGCTAGTTGAAAAAATAATTCAATGTTGTGGAGAACATATACAAGTCTTGTGTTGTCAAACTACTTGCACTTTTATCAAAACAGCTGTATACAGTAAATTAGTCTAATCACACATTATAAAATTGAAATGAAAATCAGCTGAGACATTATCATGGCAATTCATCATAGACCAACTTTACTAGGCACTTTGAATAAATTTTTTGAAGCTAACACATCATACTCTAACAGTAGTATGCAAGTTCCCCCTGCTATTCTTTGTACGTTTTCTAAGGTACTTACACAGAAAATTTGTCTTACAATCAAGAGCTTCTTGAATCTATGATCATTTAGAGCTTCTTGAGCTCATAATCATTTTCTTTCCTCTCATGAATGTATTTTTTGATTCAGGGGCAATACTGTTGGGTGAATTTAGAAGCTTGTTACAACCAGGGATTGAAGGGTTAATGCATTTCCATTTGTTGCATTGTGCAGGTTATCCAACTTGCTTGTGTTTTAACTTCTTAATTAGGATTCAAGCCGACCCACAACTGCAGCGATCAGTTCCTTGTCCACTGTAGATCCCAATGTAGATGATCTTTATGCAAAGTACAAGAAGCTTCAAAAGCAGCTGGAGTTTTTAAAAGTCCAGGAAGAATACATCAAAGATGAACAGAAAAATCTCAAAAAGGAGCTGCTACATGCACAAGAGGAAGTGAAACGCATCCAATCTGTTCCTCTGGTTATTGGTCAGTTTTTGGAGGCTGTAGATCAAAACACTGGAATTGTTGGCTCAACAACAGGTTGGAAACTATATAAATCTTTAATTTCACATATAACAAAGAAGAAAAAAGAGCATTTGAGAGTTATGCCAATGGTGAATGAAGGGAAATTATCATTACATGTCCTTATCAAATCCAATTACCGTAATTTCTGGTCGTTTACCTGCACGGCCGATTACCCGCACCGGCCGATTATTGCATACGGCAAAAAAAAAAGTCAACAGATTACCCGCACTGGTGGATAACGCGCATGTTATGTTATTCAACTTTTTGGTGGCGAAAACGTGACATTAAGGTGATACATTTCAGTCTTTTAAAAGTTGTCTGATCCAACTTTCGAAAACTTGAAAGCATCTTTGTTGAGTTTAAAGGTCAAAGAAATTCAGACGTGTGCACAATTCTTTGTCAATATTAGCATGTACTTTATTGATAAGATTATACAGTAAAAACACTAGCGGCCCATGCCCAAATCTCAATGTTTGGTACTTGACAGAATGCGAATTTGTGGCCACATTTGTGTGAGCGATCATTCAGCGCCATGTTGATTTGTTGAAAAAAAGCTGGGTGAGTATTAAAACTTAAATTATAAAGTACTGTCGGCGATTTCTGAAAAAAAAAACGATATCTTCGGTTCTATTGGGCCTAACAAGTCCCTTTAAACGGGAAAATTCTCTTTAGCTCAAGTTAGTGTTAAATGGAAATTTGTTACTGATGCGCCGGATGTCTTTGGATTATTTTTGTTACCATCAAGGTTTTGTTTTCACGCGTGCCGATAGCAATTTGTTTGTCGCGCAACTAATTATGCGTGAAATAAATTCGAGTCGGCATCATGTTTTCGTGCCGCTTTGCAGCACTCTTAATACACCAAAATTCACTTGAGAGGTGGAAATGCATGTTGGTGATAATTTTTTCAATTCAACTACCACTAGATTTTAAAATTGTCACATAACCCGCACCTCCCTATTACCCGCAGTGGCGCGCATTTAATGCAAAATCAACAGATTACCCCCGGGTAAACGACCGGAAATTACGGTAAATGTGATACTGATATTAAGAGGGAAATGTGACTGTGATGTAACTTGCGTACTGGTATTAAGATTTAAAAGTTGAGAGCTATTCAATAGCCCTTTAGTCACTATAGCCAATTGGTGATGATTTTTTGTACTCTTGTGAAAAATCAGAGTTGTTATTAGATAATACAATGGTGTATGATCTGAACTAAGTAGGCAGCTGAATTAAATTATACTTTCTTAGCAAGCATGGTATGCTCTTCTAGGGAGGTCTGATGGCATCCTGCCCTGCAAGCATCTGAAATTTGAATTCTCTGAGATGTGATTTCTAACATTCTGGGACATATACATCATGTATGAGTAACTTTTTTTGGCCACACACTGTTTTTTTAGAACCAGTTCATCTTCTGTCTCTGACTACAATTTACAAAAAAGCTAGCACTAAATGATCAAACAGGCTGCAGGTTTCCTCTGCCTACTGGCTTCTTATGACAAACCAGCTAAAACAGTAAAAATCTTCAAGTTTGTAAAAGATTAAGACTTCAAAAATATTTGGCAAAAGTTGCTAACTTAAATGCATGTCAGCATGTTTTAACTGTTTTTAATTTGTTAGGGTCAAACTACTACATTCGCATACTCAGTACCATAGACCGGGAACTTTTGAAACCAAGTGCATCTGTTGCCCTTCATAAGCACTCCAATGCACTTGTTGACGTCCTTCCTCCTGAGGCTGATAGCAGTATAGCAATGTTAACTGCTGATGAGAAGCCAAATGTAGCCTATGCAGACATTGGTGGAATGGATATACAAAAGCAAGAAATGCGAGAAGCTGTTGAGCTCCCTCTTACACATTTTGAGCTCTACAAACAAATCGGTATTGATCCACCACGAGGGGTTCTTATGTATGGTCCTCCAGGATGTGGCAAGACCATGTTAGCAAAGGCAGTTGCTCATCATACAACAGCAGCCTTCATTCGTGTTGTGGGGTCAGAATTTGTCCAAAAATATCTTGGTGAAGGACCCAGGATGGTTCGTGATGTGTTTCGCCTGGCTAAAGAAAATGCACCAGCTATAATTTTTATAGATGAGATTGATGCAATTGCCACTAAGCGATTTGATGCACAAACAGGAGGTAAGAGAGAGATTGTTTCTTTGTGCTTTCTACGTATTGTGAAAGGATGTGGGAGAAACAGTGGCCAAGTGATTAATACATGTAGGTGCTTGGTTAATCCCTGGCTAGATTGTTGTGTTTTGTACCTGAACAGGGCACTTAAGCTCTCACAGTGTTCCCTTCCACACCAAAAGTATTATTAAATATTGGTAAACTGTTAAGGAAACCTTGCCAAAATGCTCTGAAGATACCTGTTATGGATTAACTTTTCATTCAGGAAGAGTAGACATTCTCCTTATCACTTCATGCTGCAGAAACTAAGAATTAGTGAGTGCAGTTATGGGACACTTGATCTCTAAGACTTTAAACCCTGTCGTAATCATCCATCAATATGCTTATTTTCCATACTGTTTCTTGTATATTTCATGTAGTACTGACAAGGAGAGTTTGTGAAACAATTAAGAGCTTCCTTAGTTAGGAATCTTTCCTTTTTTTCTCATGACCTCTTTCCTTTTTTTTCTCATGACCATAATCACCACTTAAGGTGCGTGTGCTGTACATGCATGCATTCATGAAAAGTCTTGTAATCAAACTTGTATTTCTTTTGTCAATTGTAGTGAAGTACCCCTCAAATCTGAGCTAGCTCTCTTTTTTAGCATCTCTCAATGTACCCTGTCAAATTTTATACAATCTAACTAAAGAACAGAATTTTTTGTATAATTATTGATTGTGATCACAACATTTTTAAATAGATTTTCCAAAGTCTTGTGTATACTTTATAACTGGCAGATTGAATGGGGACATGTGTATCAGATGTTGAATTGAATTTTGTCACATCTTTTTCCAGCTGATAGAGAAGTACAAAGAATATTGCTTGAGCTGCTGAATCAGATGGATGGCTTTGACCAGAATGTAAATGTTAAGGTATGAAAGGAGGCCACATACTCTGTGTACCATAATATCAGTACATAATATGTAACAAACTGGTTAGATGTTGTCAGTGACTGACTTTAAAATTAACCCACCATGCATCTTTTGGGGTAATGCAGCATTTTCTTGAAGAAATGTCATAGCAGGAGATTAATGTAAAGAAAAAAAATTACATTTGTCTTGTTTGAATGAAAAACAGCCAAGGCCATTGAAATTTAGCCAGAGACAATTCTACAATCTCTGATGCTAAATGAACACCCACTAGTGTTGGTAAACATTTGAAGTTTTCCTTTACTAGCATGCTGATCAGTTGAGTAAGTGGAGGATTGGATTGAGGCCTTGAGCCACTGTATTTCCTTTTTTATTACATAGAGCTTTCACTAAGCTGTGGCATTATCAGGGAAGGAAAGCTCAGAATAAAGAAAAACAATTCAGTTGCTCAAGGCCTTGATTGAATTGTCTATTAACTCACTAGTGTGTGACAACTTGTGTTATCCAGTCTGTTTGTTACAGTAGAATGTTACAACTGACTAGTATGTGATGACTTTCAGAAAATTTGTTCTGTGTTTTAATAGTGTCACAATGCTGATATGTTTGTTTTCATATATTTTATAAAGTTTCTTTAAACTATAATTTCTGTTCAAGTTTATACCACATTTTCTTTGTTTAAACAATACTTATATTTTGCCTCTTTTAATCTAATTGTATTAATGAGTAATCAGGAAATGTCTGGGTTTTTTTTGGAATAGGTTATCATGGCCACAAATCGTCATGACACTCTTGACCCTGCATTGTTACGTCCTGGTCGACTGGATCGTAAGATTGAATTCCCCTTGCCAGACAGAAGACAAAAACGTCTCATCTTCTCCACAATAACAGCTAAGATGAACCTGTCAGAAGAAGTAGATTTAGAGGATTGTATCCTTTTGTGATTCCATATTGTCTATGTATTATAAAATTAATTAACCTTTTAGAAAAAAGCAAAACTGATATTTTTTTAAGGAAACTGTTGAAATAGAAAACACACACACCTTGACTTGCTTATTATAATAGATGTTGCAAGACCAGACAGAATTAGTGGAGCTGATATCAATGCCATTTGTCAAGAGGTATGTTTCTTTTTTAACATGCAGAGTACTAGTACTCCTCATGCAGGTGTGGTTTAAGTACTTCTGTTGTTAAAACATTAAATTTCTCTCATGATCATTCAATTCCAATTTTATCCTGGGACAAAATACACCATGGTGATTATCCTGTCTCAGTTTTAAAAAATGTGTATGATTTTATGTAAGCATCTGTTTCTTGTTTTATTATACACCTGTATCAGTTAATGATTGAGTCAAGCTGCATTGAGCAATTTGGGTTGGACAAGACACTCAGAAGTTTGATTTTGCAATGTGTGAACCCAGCTAAAATTGTTTGCTGCTGCACATGGTTTTGAACTTGATGATTGAAATTGGCTGACACTTGCACAAAGACAAGACCCTCAATTCATAAGCATAGCTGAACATACCAGCCAGAGGTGTTATCTGTCACTTTGCTTTGAATTACAGTGATTGTTGAATTAATGAGGAAGTGAGTGAATAACTGCTTGAAGGGGAGAAATAATTATTTATGAATGAGATCTGGGAGGTGTAAGGGAGTTAAAAGATAAACAGTGTTTTCTAGAAAAAATGTGTTTCTTTTTTTCCATAGGCTGGCATGCAGGCAGTACGAGAAAATCGCTATGTTATCCTAGCTAAAGATTTTGAGAAGGGCTACAAAAACAACGTGAAGAAAGATGAAACAGAACATGAGTTTTATAAGTAATGTTATCTGACTGTGTACCAAAGACTGAATGGGGATACTTCCTGCTGTGAATAAATACTGGTCGCTTGTGTATGCTGATGACCTTTTCTGTAGATGTTTAAAATACAATAAATGGCTTTTGCATGTTAGCTGACAGGCTCACTTTCAGCTGTTTTGGGAGTTCATTAATTCACATCTAGGGATACTTGCTTACAGAATGGTGGTGGCTATGCCAGGGAACCCAGCTGAGAAGAACAATGCCTTTCCAATTTTTACTTTCCAGTTGTATGGGCATCCACAATTTCCTTGCAAGCTAGGGTCCATTTCACATTCACTTCACACTGCTGCTAAACATGATGAAAAGAATACAGAGTCCTGCATCATGCAAATTTCTCGAGTTTGAATAAACCCTCGCATTAACAAAAAATTCCATTGCATTTGGTGTTACAAAATATTTTATTTACTGACATTTTTAAATCTGCCTTTTAATAATTTACACCCGCAAGGTTGATGTGCCACAATTTCTGTGACAGGATGGTGAAATTAACTTAAATTCTTAGTTAAATTAAATTCTAAATTAAATTAAATTCTAAGTGGTCTTGTTCCTAGCTCAAAAATCCTAGCTGACCTTCAGCTTTCAAAAGCCAGCCAAATTAAAATTAATTGTTATGCTGTCAATACAAGCCAGTAAAATTATGGCTACATGTGAACCTCTTGAATAATTTCGTTATGGTTGAAAGGTTATAAATGAAGACAGAAAAATATTGAAATATAAACAGCCAATCATTTGTCAAAGCTCTTCACTCATACCCGTGCCTCACGAGTGATCTCGTAAGGAGGACTGGAACTTAGGGTAGGAACGCCTGGGAAATTTTGGATTTTCTACGAAGATCTATGCATTCCTGCCTGTGGAATTTGTTTCTTGGCAATGTTATGCTTTGTGTGAGACCATATGGCTTATTCGAGTAACTGTTCCCAGAGGTGAGCTCATTTTACTTGTTTTTAACAATTTTCAATCGTGTGACTGTTCGATGTTAGGCGTCGTACCTCTCAACTTAGCTAATTTCCATTGATGTACGTAGCTAACGAACTCGAGGTTACTTCGATTATGAGGAGAATTGTGCACCAAAAGAAGGCTTGTGATCGGTGATACTAGTAATTTAATTATCTTTTCCTTCCTATTCAATTTATTTGACTGAAATTGGAGAGAATTCGTTTCGATATGACTACACAAATCAAATTTCAATATGTCAACTATCAGGTTTTCTATGCTATTTCTACATTTTTAACCTTTGAATCAATGTTTTTTCAAGTGGTCATCTATTATCCATGATTGAAAATGCTTCACAGGCTTCTTTTAAGGAAATATGGTACAGAATTAAACGAAGTTTTATTTGCATCTTTTATTCAAAAGTCAAACGTTACTGTGAAGATATTGATTGAAAGGTTTCAGAACCGGCAACCTTCAACATCCCTTTGTTGACCAATATATCCTACCGTGGGGTTAAACAATTTTCATTTGTTCCCACGAGGGAGTTAGAAATGAGGAGGACAGCTGCCTTTGATAAATTGTAGAATCTAATCTTAGGATCTACATAATTATTTAGCATCAGCTAACCAACAGGTTTAAAGACTGGGCAGTCTGAGGGGATTGTGGAAAAAAAAAAATCGTTTTTCCCAGAGAAGTAAGAACCTTATGGGTCTGATGTCTTGGGTAGAAAATCCTAGTGATCATCTTCTATCTTCCTTAGGTTGGAATTTTAATTTGTGAAGTAATATTTTCAACAATAGATCAATTGTTTATTTATTTTTTGCTTTAAGTTTGTCCCACATTAGCTGTAAAGCCAGACATAGACACTTGAAAACGAACTTTACATGTACACAATAATAAGAAGTTTAAGAGAAAAATTGTTCACCATGGCCAGTATAAAACAATACAACAAGATGGGATTTACATGTACCACACTGTGGAAAAGACAGAAACTTGAAATCCTTGCTTTTGCCAAACTGCATTTTTCATGGAACAAAGCATCTTACACCCCATTCACACCACTAACACATATCTTGTAAACCAAGTTTAACCACTGAAATAAAAATTACAAACTGAAGAACTGAAAAACTGAGTTTTCCATTGTCTTTCCAATGTGCTAGATTTAAAGTTGACAGACATTTGTTTAGGCAGCTTTTATAAAGAAAACAACTTTCAACTGTGTTAAACAAAACAGCTTTAAGAAATTTTTTAAGCTTTGGTGTGAATGGGATATCAGACTATTACTAGTCCACCTCAGCTGAGATACCATTCTAGAGCTATCACAGGGTTACCTCTTCCGATTTCCCCAGCAGCTTGCTTTTATCTCTTTTCACTCCTGGGTTGGGATTTAATTATCTTGTTCAAGAATACAACTCAGGGGCAATCCAGGATTTTTGTTGAAAGGTGGGTGCACCACTAAGAAATGATCTAACTGAGGGATGACGTAAACAAACTGCTTCAGACTAAGCAATTACATAATGTTAAGTGCTTGGAATACATAGCAAAACCATACAATAGAAAGACCAATTTTTAATAAAGTGGAACATGCGCCCGATTAGCAATACTCTGTCAAGACATTCAGTTATATTAGAGAGCTGTCTGTCTGTCATCTCATGAGAAGGGGGGGG